TGCCTAAAAGGTGTGTTGTATTTTTGTATACCCATACAGTGACTGTGTATAGCATTTTAGCATTTAATTGTATTTAGTGTACTCTAATTTTAGTTAAAATACACTACATTTGACTCATTTACATTACTTTATAGTATGTTTTTATTTTCTAGATGTTTATAACATTAATATCCAGTTGCCAAGAACAAATTGCCTTCTGGCTGGGTTGCTGTCGTTCCCACTGGCTTCCACTTTGTCATAATACCTGCAGAAGCAGCATGCCTAGGTGCTCGTTTTTGCACACCTGTGGCCGTGGAAGTGATTGGAATATTTGGATGGGTAACTGAATACTTTTGGCAATATACTGTATGCATAATTGTCTAGCAGACATTAGACAGAGGATGAGGATGTTCGTTTCTGTTTACGGTTTCTAAGTATATTTCGCATTTCATTTTAAGGAGGAATTTGTGGCTTGGTTAGTTCAGCCCAGAGTGATGGATACAGGTTTGGAGACTGACTAAACAAAGTGATCACATTTTAGTTAAAAAATGAGTGAAGCACTTCCTCACGTTCAGTGTGTTGCTTCTTTCAGACTGGACATTCAACAAGAGTTGTGGTGTTGATGATCTGTTATTTAGGTCAGTCAACTTTGTAGATGCCATAGTCAGGACATTTGCAAAGAAAATGTAATCTTGAGTCATTTTTACCAGTAAATATTCAAAGACTGGACAGCATTGCTGCTTTCATTCACATTTAAAAGCTTTTCTGTTAAGATCAATAGTAGCTGTAGTGAACCTGTTTTTAAGAAACCAGTGTTCGCCCTTTCATACCAAAGCTATTAGTGTTGGACACACATAAGACTGACTGCAATAGATTACACAGCCAGGTTAGATAGCACATTGCCATGTGATTTTCATCACGTCTTTCCTGTGTTGTTGCCGCCTTGTTAAAAAGGGTACCGGTACGTCGGTGTTACAGTGTATACCAGTAGTTACATATACAGCTGTATTTGGAAGATGAATCTGTGAATGGTATTGATGGTAATGATACAAATGATTGTTCAGGCACTACCATTGTTGTTTAATGTTGCAAAACTAATGTTTTTCCCTGCGTAGAAGTTACATTGTTTTTATTGCTGTTGTATAAGCACTTTATGTATTAGTCTTCATGTTGCCTTCAGTTACCTTCATATCAAAAATCTGCTTGTACAATAAAATGCTTCTTGGCTTAAAATTTTAAAACTGGTGACAAGTGTTAAATGATTTCCCTTGATTTCCCGTTTGTTGGGTGAAGGTTTGCAGCTGTATTGATTTGATAAACCTGACTATTTTATACTCATGCTAACAGTAAAATTATACTTGGTCACATATTTTGATGTTTAAAGTGGCCGTGCAAACATGTTACACATGTTCAATATCTGAAATCGATATGTCAGCAAAGTAACTATTGCTAAACAGCATTAAAATAGCTGAAACTCCAGGAAATCTCAAGGTGCATGCATTTGTCATAAACCATGTAATAAAATGCTGATTTGATGATAAAATTACCAAAAAAAAAAAAAAATGTCAGAACAAGTAAGCCTCACAAGCCAGTTACACTTGTACACATTTCAGTGCCTGACTTTAGGTCGTTGTAGATGTGTGTGGTTGTAGCAGCAGACGAACCCAGATATGGGTCAAAAGAATCTATACTCTGTGCAAAAGTAATGGTATAAAAATGCAAAACATTTCATCGCCCAAAGCAGTGCGATGACAAGTCGACGTATTCCTAGAATCTCAAGGCTACTTTGGTAAACAGGCTGTATTAAGTGTTTTCTAAATACATTTTTTATAGTAAATATTGATTATTATTGTTGTCATGCAGATATGTAAATGTAGTATTTTTTTTATTGTTTAGTTTTTTAATATTGAGACTATAAGTACATTTAAAAAATAAAAATAAAAAATCTATTTCTAACCCATATTTTTGTGAAGATGTTCAAGTAAATATATCACAACGTAATACTATATTAGCTTCAGTTTTGCACAAGGAGGTATTGATATTAAACTTGCAAACTGATAAGCAGGTTATTAATCATCTTCAAAAGCTGCCTGTTGAGCAGTTAGTCTTCAGTAAGTAAAATTGTAATTAATCATATCTACGGTACTTCTCAAGACAGCAAGATAGACATGACCACTGTAACGTCATCCATTGTTTAAGGTGGTCGTGTTAGTCATCAAAAAGAATGCAGGTTTAAGATACAACTGTGTTAGGTTTTGTTTTCAGATTAAGAAAACAAGCCGGTGTTATATACAGTTTGTGGTGTATGGTAAATATCTAACTAAAACTATATTGACTGGCTGCACTGGTTAGTATCTAAATTGGGATTGGTAAGTATTTAGCAGGGATATCACCATAACTTTATTATTATACGAATAATGATTTCATTGTGTTTGCAAATGGGGCATTGTACAAGGAGCTTCTCTTCACAGTGTTGTGTACAAATCATGCCCAGAAAACTGCACATGGTAATTCACTTTTTAGGCATTTCTATACAGTGCAATGGACTCCACTGCAGGTCTGTAAAAAGCTTATTGTTTTACAGCCTTTGTTTTAGTTCTGTGTCTATCTGTTTGTGTGCAGGATGGCAGTTGTATGACCCTCACCATGCTGGCAGCAATAGGGGGGCAGGATGACATCCTCAGGTTACTGATTAAAAAGGGGGTGAGAGTGAATAAACGACAGAAGAACGGCACTACAGCCCTGATGCATGCTGCTGAAAAGGTAACTCTATCTTTTATGTAAGTTAATCCTGCAGCCTTAAACTATACTGTGCATACAATTTTAATTCAAATTCTCAGTGAAAGCCAAACCAGTCAAAGACTCTGAAATAAAGGCATCTGCCTCTTTTGTTTTATCTTGTAAACACTTGATTCTCGTTTGTGTCATCCCAGAATTGTTTGACAACTGTTGCAATCCTACTGGAGGCCGGGGCCTATGTAAATGCTCAGACGCTGAGTGGAGAGACGGCGCTGATGAAGGTAACACTAGACAAACACTAACGGTCACTTTGGTTTTAATTAGTGCAAAATTACAGTTTGCATGCAGATTACAAATGGTGCTGTTTCACAGCAGATCAGTCAGAAATTATATATTTACTTTATAGTCCTTACCTGTGGTGTACCAGTATGAGGTTTCTTTAGAGAAGTTCATTACGTCCTTCCTTTTAGGCATGCAAAAGAGGGAACGCTGATGTTGTGCGCCTCCTGCTGGAGTATGGAGCTGACTGCAACATCCTGTCCAAACACCAGAACACAGCTATGTACTTCGCCCAGCAAAGCAAAAACCTGACGGTGTGTGACTTCATCAAGGACCACATCAGCATGTGAGTGCTAACCACATCATCACATCATAGTTTCATCAGTTTGGTGATGTTTTTGGAGACAGCATAGTGTGAATTAATATTTAAAGAGACAAACATTTACTTTGGTTTCTATCCTCAAAAGGAATGTCAGTAAATTTTGTCCTGCACTGTAGTGGTAAAACCAGTTTTACTACCAAATATATTTGGTTACACAGAACTAATTTATGTTGCAGGCTGTCCAGTGTGGCGGAGGACACCATCCGAGCATACTTTGAGTCTCGTCTGGTGCTGTTGGAGCCCGTCTTCCCTCTGGCCTGCCACAGGCTTTGTGAGGGTCCAGACTTCTCTATGGATTTTACCTTCAAGTCACAGCCTCAACCAGAGGGTAACCCCAAATTTTTACATATTTTTACATTACCTGATATGCAAAAACACCACCTCACTCGAGAGGTGGTGTATTTGCTGTTTTTCTGTTGCCAGACAGATTCATGAATTTTGTTTTTATCATGTCTGGCCACGCTTGGCAAGGATGCTACTCTTTTAGTAGCTTTGTGCTACTGATACATTTTTTACAGACTGCATAAAAGGAGGATAACACTGCAGACATCAGATACTGAGTACTGATGAAAAGGATGAACGCTACTTACATTAGAATTCTTAATTGATTCATATTACGTACGTTTTAATATACCATTGAGGTGATTTGTTTTAAACGTTTTGCTGATTTGAAGTCTTTCCAAGAACATAAATCTAAAAGCTAAAAACCTTTAGGCTGTTGACATTAATAAAATGTTTTGTAAATGACATCCCGAGAGAAAATAAAACTGCCTTTGAACTGTGATGTTTTATACATATTTATTTGAAAAGGTAATTTACAAACGCTCAATTTTAGCTACAAAACACAAGAAAATATCCAAAGATGAGGGAACTGCGGACAGGACAGTTTTACACCTGCAACAGCTTAGATTAATAGGTACTTGAGCAGATGCTACCAATGAACATGCATATCTAAATAGGTGTTGTCAAGATGAAAAGATTACTCAGATTTGTATGTCTCTTTCAATCTTTAAAGTGAAACTTCCACAGTTCATATTACATGAAGGCAAAAGTAAATTGACCAGGAGTTGGGGAACTGCGGGCCTCAAGGGCCAGTTTCCTGCAGGTTTTAGATGTGGCCTTGATCCAACATAGCTGATTTAAATGTCTAAATTACCTCCTCAACATTAAATTTGAAGTTCTCCAGAGGCCTGGTAACGAACTAATCATTTGATTCAGGTGTGGTGACCCAGGGTGAGATCTAAACCCTGCAGGACACTGGCTCTTGAGGCCTGGAGTTTCCCACCCCTGGCATAGACCATACAATGCAGTCCAGCAGACATTATGAGGTATTATGAAATAAAGATGTAAATTCATATTTTGAACATTTTCTTTCCATTAGTCTGTAAGAAGACTTGTTATGGAAGCAAATTAGCCCAAACTCCCAAAATTGACCAGTGTGTGCAGTTTTTAGCTGCACTGTCTCACCTTAAACTGTAAACTGAACCTGCTATTCGGCTAGTACAAAGTGTAATGATGGATTGTGTTGCTGTGTGACAAGCACTGGTTATAGTGCAGAATGAAATCATTTGAGGTCATGGTCAAAGGCTAAACATCGTACCTCCTGCACATCACTTGTGTCCGGGCCTTCGTATGAGAACGCTCCGAACATTACCCCGACGTTTTCCAGAGTTGATGTGCAAAAATGGCTTCAAATGTCAACGTCATTAGAACGTTATCCCACTAATGTGTTGGCTATAAGTTTCTATTCCAATCGAACCTTTCTGTGAAGTTTTATCATCCCTCCTACTTCCAGGTTCAGGTATCCTCCTCTTCATCTTCCACGCCAACTTCCTGAATGAGATCACAGCCAGGCTATGCGGACCTTGCAGTGTGCACGCCGTGGTGCTCAACGATAAGTTCCAGCTGCCCATTTTCCTGGTTGGTTGAAATGATGATTACACAACAGTTGGTTAAAAACAAAATGTGCCAAGTGATTAATGAAAGATAAAATTGAGAAATTTGATCAACTATAAAACAAATCGACAAAAATAAAACTGAAAAACGATTTTAATCCATCGGAATTTTATTATATTAAATCCTCCTTTGATATCATTCAGAGTGGTCGTTTGTCTATTGTTTACCCTCACTCTCTCTCTTTACGGTGTTTTTCACTATTGCTGCTTTGAGCAAATGAACAAGCAGTTCACAGGAGACCATGCAGCCATGTTTAATGTCACTGTGTGGATTCAATGTACTTCACCTCATTAAATCGTTTAAATTTAGGCCACAGTGCTAATTTTTGCTTATTTTTTTCTACTTTTTGCCTTCAACGTTTCAGGATAGTCACTTCATCTACTCTTTCAGCCCGAATCCAGGCATCAACAAGCTCTTCATTCGCCTTGCAGAGGCGCCAGCAGCCAAGGTGACACACACACACATACACACACACAGTGAGACACAAACATATGAAACATCTTAATCAGGCATACAAAGGTCACTGCTTCTAACCAGCCCATTGGAAAATCTGACTAAATGTTTTTGAAACTGAGGAATGCGATTTTATTTTTCATGATTTAAAAGAAGAATAAATAATACCACAAATGGTCATTATTAATGATTTACGTGTAGAACTAGGCATGTCCATTATCTTAAAGGCAACCCAAAGAAATATACAAAGTTGTTGTTTTTTTGTTTTTTTACAGAAACCTTTCAATGCAATCTTTGGTTTTTGGCTGCAGCATCAATCTAAGTTTAGCCAGCTACCACAAATAACAAAGCTTCTATGTTTGTGTCAGAGTTGATCTTGTCAAGCATCCAGAATCCTGTAACGTTTGCTCTCACGCTCCGATTTTACCGTTTTTAAAAAGACACTGCATGCAGCTGAGTGGGTTTGTCTTTTTCAGTCATGACAGAAGACACTTCATCCTCAAAGATGATACCTGGGCCTGTCTGTGTGCTACTCTCACTGGCATTCAATCCAAACCCAGTTTGTCCCCAGAACATGTATACATTTTTAAAGTGGGTCACCGATATATAGTTTCATTATAAGTAAGTTAATAAATGAACTGGATGCTCTGGGTTTCATTTGTAGTTGTTACTCTCAGTTCATTTCATTGTTTTCTTCAGTCTGTCCTCAGCTATTGTTGACTTCCATATTGATGATCTATCATATCTGCTACAGAATTTCTTAACGTTGGAAAATCTTTTAGTCTAATATAACACACCTAACCACAGGCCCAACCTATTTTTACTCCTGGTTTATGTATAGACCCCCCACACAGCCCTCTGTCCTAGTGTCTAACCGCCAATGCGTCATTTTTGACACAGTTTTACAGGCACGGCTTTCTTCTCCGAAGCAAACTACACAGACAGCTATCTTTAATGTGCAGCCAGGTTTTCAGATCTCTTCTCTGTTTTTTTTCCTGTATCAGCACCTTCATTTTCAATATCGATGACTTGGTTAATTAGTGCAATAGTATCTGCTCATGAGCTCTTGATAATGTGGCTCCCTTATTAACCCCAACTGCCAGTCCTTCCCTTTGAAATGACAATGATATTCCCCCCCATAGCAGAGAGTGTAGAAATGCTGACATAGCCTCGACTACCTTCATAGGAAGAGTTTCTCGCCACGCTCAACAAAGTTATAAAAGATGTAAGAGCTTCATTAATGAAAACAGGCACAATCTAAGGCTGCATGCCATTGTTAGGGACTGTTTCCTTACTGTTTTATCTTCCTGTGCCCTCACTGTCAGTGGAGAAACACGTCACTGTAACCTTGCAGTTGCTTTTTGATGTGTTTTAGTAGTTTTGGGGCAAAAAAGTAATATCAGACTTTGGAAACGCACACAGTATTTTTCAATAGGATATCCTCACTGCTGGTTTTCATGTTAATAACTCAAATCATCTGCTTTACTTTTTGTATTTGTTCGAGTCAAAAAAAGTAAAACATTTTGCAGCAGAAAACAGGAAACAGTTTGAATTGTTAGTCATCCAATCATAAAGCTGAATTTCTTTTGATAAGTAGAGAGGATCCAAAAGTCGAAGCATCTCAGCAGCGTTTCCGTCTGATCTTCTCTCCTCAGGTCAAGCTCCTCATCTGCGCGTACAGAGTGCAGCTGCAGTGACGCGCTCTCTGATGATGTTAATGTCATACCAAGCTTGGACAACACATCATTCCACATGCAGATTCTGAGCAGCAGCTGAGATACTTTACCAAGCGCGTTACCCTCTGAGAAGGAAAAAAAAAAAAAAGCTGGCTTCCCGAGATGGAAGTGCACATTCTTGACAACTGAAGTTCAGCGATGAGATCTGACTCCAGACCAGGCCCGAGCGCGGTGAGGGCCAACATATGCAGCATAAATGTGAGGATCTTACAGAGACTTGCGTAACCTTTGAGCAGTCCGTCCTTTGTGGGAGGTGCCATCACTACGCAGTTACCGGCGATCGGAAACTGTTACCGGAGGAGCTTTGAAGACGGACGTCAACCTGTGTCGTGCCTTTCTCCAAGTTCCACCTTCTGTCGGGGTGGATCTGTTAGACATGTGTGATGATTGTTTCTATTCTGGTGAATTTGAAGAATATGAAGAGGGGATTTTCAATCACTGTTTATTTTGGCGGGGGTTTCATGTTTTTAGCATTTCACTTGGACCAATGGAAATCTTTTTCATGCATGTTGTTTTTGGTAACACATTTCTTTATGGATTTTTCTTCATGTTCTAACTCTACCCTTAAATAATATTAACATTTCTGTTCAGTTCTCTTCCCTTAATAATTAACATCTCTTTATTTGTGCTAAGTCTGTGTTGTTTGTTGGTATTTCACTTTAGTAGAGCGGTGTGAGGTTAAACACGGATTCTGGGGAACAGACACAGTACATGCATCCATAAATTTTCCATCCACTGGCCCATTGTCTTGTTTACCACTTGTCATTACACTAGTGTGAGGTTGTTTCAAAGTGTGACTTAGAGAGTTTTTAGTGAATGAAGAAGAGTTTTGCCTTCCATGCACAGAGTTGCTGTTTATATTTCCTGCTCTGTACAGACTATATATAATTATATACATATATGCAGTTATAAGGTGTCATGTGATGACCGCTGATGTTTTTGTTCCTTTTTGAGTTAATTTATTTCGTTTGTACAGGAAAACGCTCTGGGCTTAAATGTCTCAAACTGCCCGGCTAGTACATTGAAGAACCCCATATTTACCATCTCTATCACTGCTGTGCTGAGCCTACTTACTGCTCCCTTTCAGTCTCCTCAAGCAACCTTCTTTGTTTTTAATTATCTGATATTAAAGGAGCCCAAACTAGAGGATACCAAATCCAAGTATCTGTTATTGACATTCTTCTGCATAAACACACCTAGCTGCGTGATGTTGCCTACAAACCCAGCTCAGGCTAGCAATATGTCTTTAAATTGCAGCAGTGCTGTTTGATTGGATGTCTCCATGCTGCCTTAATGTTCACTTTTTACATTAGTTTGTAGATCTTTGTGGTTCAAGCTGAGTGACTGAAAGTAAAGAAAATATCCAGATTCACAATTTTATTTTTATTTTTTGTGTGTGTTTTAACTCAACACATTGCATATACTGTAATGGTGACTCCACTTACTGCTATTTATCTCTCATTCCTATAGGTAACTACCAGTTTTGTGGACTAAGTTAACAATGGTACAAAAAGCATTAGTGGTGATGTTGTAGCTACGAGAGAACAAAAGAGATTTGCTGTATTTGCACTGTAACAGGCTTTGTAAGAAAAGAGGGTTGGCATGGTAACGTCTTAGTAATGAAACTTACCTTTAAGTTGCATGTTAACATTCATGGTGGTGCGGTGTTGGTGGTGCGGTTAGTGAAGGTTGTGGGTTTGACAGCCGCCTGGGGCGTTCCTGTCTCTCGGATTTTCTCCAGTTGCTCCGGCCTCTTCCCAGAGATATGCATGTTAGGTTAAATGGTGATTCTAAATTTGCTGTAGGTGTGAATGTGAGATGCCTGGTTCTCTCTTTGCCGTGTGAGATACCGGCAACCGCTCGCCTTATGACAGCAGCAATAGGCTCCAGTTCTCCCGGCAATCCTGAACTGGGTAAACAGTTCAGAAAACAGATGTTCACAATCAGCTGCTCATCCCACTGGCTACAGTTTGATCTGCGGTTTTAAAGAAACTTAGGTCTGCTCTGTGTTTCTGTCACTTTATGACCATATACTTGTCAGGTGTAGTGTTTTTTAAATCGCGCTGCATACTTCTGGCTCCTGTGGTGTCACAGCTTTCAGACTCCCTATATTTTTTTAATAGGCATCCAGATGCTTCAAAAATCAAGCGCAGCCTTACAGCGAGCTGACACTCTGTAATAAGATTTCAAATTTGACTACTTTCGCTTTGCTCAGCGTATGCATGCAGTGCATTTCACCTTACGGCATTAAAAGGGAGCAAATCTGAAACCCTGTCTTAAGACACCTGTAGCCTGTTCTTATCTCAGTACAGCGTGAGGAATCGGTACATGGAGTAGGTGTTTTGGTGTCGGATACCAGAGACGAGCACGATACGAAGGAAGACGTGAAACTGGAATATCTGAAAAGCCAAAGACAGATCTAGCTCAGACATCACCGCTGAGGTTTTCTGCTTTACAATTTCAGCTAAACTGTTTGAAATGCATTCTGATGTTTTGTGTTACTTGATATATTTTTTTCCAGCTTCCCACATTGTGATTGGTTTCCACTTATTGCAAATTGGAGTCAAAAACAAAAAACAAACAGCCTCCATAAACTCGCTTCTGACGTGTAAAGCATCTCAGTGAAGTCCACCATCACTTAAGTTACATAAGGACAAAATACATGTATTGCTATTACTGTGACTGTGACCACTATGATTGTTTGTGAGTCAGTCAGTGTTAGAGCAGAAGTGTTCACTTTAATGTATCGCACATTTGTGGTCAGTTTCAGGAGTGCTAAATTACTTTCACGTAACAGATGAAAGGAAGGATTCAGACCATTAAAGATGTTTGTAGAGGTGCTGCTTACCTGAGGCCGTCTCTCTGCCCTAAATAAAATGTGTGCATATATTTGCACACACTGCTGGGTTTCATTCATTATATGGAAAGTTGTTGTTTTTTTATTATTATTATTATTATTCAGTCTGAAAAATAAGGTTGTTGTACATGATAAGTCATCTGCTTAATACATGTTTTTGCCTAGTTTTTGTACAATATTTAGTATAAAAGCTCTTCTATAAAAGATAAGTAATGTTCTCCTGCCTTTCATACTTCTCTTACTTTTCCATGGACTTGCATTATTTGCACTCTTTTTTTTTTATTTTTATTAGTCATCTCAATTATGATTTTTATTCATAAGTATTGAGCAGTTAAAGGTATATGAATGATAGAGGTTTGCCATTGGGAGGTATAAACGCATGCAGCTAATATCAGTGCTGTAAAACTAAAACCCAGCATGATTAAACATTTCTACAAATTGATCTAATTCACACTTGATGACAGTTTGTTTGTTTTAGCTCAAATGTGTGTCATTTTTGGTCAGAGACACCAGGAATCTCCACCAAATTCCTTTCTTAGCCACGATGGCAGTACATTGAAACAGCACCACTCAGAGGACGGATAGAAAAAAATCCCTGAGAGTTTTAAAAGAAGATGCATGAAGCTAAACCTGTCTTGGAAAGGCAGTCTTTAAACAAAAATATTTAAAAAAAAAAAAACCATCTGTGTGAAGGAAATTTATTTAGCAGGTAAAAGTTACATTTTCATATTCTACTATGCTACATTCAGACAGAAATACTGTACTTTGTATTTTCCACAATTATCTGATAATTTAGTTAGTGGTTACTTTACAGTTACAGATGTAAAAAATAAATAAAATTACATGCTCAAGAGAGCATAGATGATTTTTGAGGCCGATATCAATACCGATATTTGGTGACTTAAAAATCAAATATTCCAACATACTAGCCAATGTTACTATGATGCCGATTTTTCAGGCAAATTAAACATAAACCGATTTCCCTAACATTTTTTTTTTATGTTTAGTTAATTATTTACTAATTTATGATCTGACTGGCTTTGCTCGAATCAGCTAGTTATTGCTTGTGGCATTCCAAACACCTCGCCAATAGGAAAGTTTCAGAGTGCCCTCTGGTGGCCAAACTATGCAACATCAACACATATTTGTTTTAAACAAATAAATAAACACTTAATATGGCTGAAGGGTGTTTTTGCTGTCTCGCTAGACCTTCTACTTTGTCCTGCTACGTATTAATATGATATGCATCATTATGGTTTAGCTGTTGCTCATTTAAATAATGTAGAGTCCTCAACATTTTAATAAATAGAGTAAGATAATTCCAACTAAACAAAATCTAAGAGTATTGTAGTGTAGCAAAGAACAGCTCCCAGTTTTAAAGAGAGAGACTGAATATTGTAAGATCATTTTATTGGTCATTACGTGTAAATCATTTTAAAGCTTCGCAAGGAAAAATGACAGGTGAAAAGTGGATATTGAACTGCTAATCTGTTTGTCAATACATTTCTGGAATCCCTCTTTGGCACACAGACAGAAGTAGAAGAGAAACTCATCCTTTACCTAAATAATGTGTAAGTAATGCTTACACCAGAATAACTTTCATTGGAAAGCATTACAAGTTTCTCTCCTACTGTTTTGAATGTTACTGAGAATGGGTAAAATCACAACTTCATCATTTATTACTTGTGACATTTCTACATGCATCTCCATAGTAGAAACTATATTTTTCATCCACCTGCTTCCGCTTATCCTTTCCAGGGTTGCAGGAGCCTATCCCAGCTCGCCAGTCTGTCGCAGTGCTAACACATACAGACAGACAACCATTCGCTCTCACATTCACACCTATGGGCAATTTAGATTAACCAGTTAACCTATTCCCATTAACTGCATGTCTTTGGACTGTGGGAGGAAGCCAGAGTACCTGGGGGGAACCCATGCAAACTCCACGCAGAAAGACCCAGGCCTGATGGTGGAATTGAACTCAGGACTTTCTTGCTGTGCAGCAACAGTGCTAACCACAGTAGCTCAGATGTATTTAAGTTTATATGGTTAAATGCTTTAATGTTCTGGTGGGGATGATAAGATTGGAAAGTTGCTAAACAAAAACAGGCAGCTAATGAAACATCTCACAGAGTAAATGATGGCATGTATAAACAGAGCATACTAGTCGAGCTGAGTGTTTCAGAGGTCATGATGGCGAGGGGTTCACTGCTCAGTCAGAGAATTCTTGGAAAACTAGGCAAGCTTTCGGGCAGCACTTTAAAAACAGACTTAATTCAGTTGTAGAAATCACAGCAGGGGCTCAGCAACACTTGTGAAAAGGATCCTCAGCGACCACAGTTCATCCCAAACCCACAGTGCAATTTGGGGGACAAAAATAACATTTAAACAAAAATCCAGAAATACCACAGGCTGGACCCAAGATCACTATAGGCAAGGAGTTTTATTGCTGCACATATAACTTGTACACCCATGATCATTACTATCATATGAACATGCTTTAAAGCAAAACATCAAACATCTGTTTCAAACAGTGTCTTGCATCTTTAAGCAAGACCATGCCAAACCACCAGCAGCATGTATCACAGCAGCATGATGGATTTTACTTCTCTGGGAAGCTATTTGAGCGAATCCATATGAGAAGGAAGGACCAACAACACTGCACGCGTATGAAAGAGATCTCAAGCCAAGAACCCCGGAAAAGACATGGAGCCTTTCTTTTAATTTGCCCTTTTTAAATAAAGTAGATGTTTTAAGGAGGGAGTTTGCTAACAGTTGTTGTTAATTAATGCAGTTTTTACAAAATGTGTTCATAAGTGGTGGAGCAGTAGGGACATAAAATCCTACAGCTAAAATGCAGCATGTATTCACACTGCACAACAAAGTTTAACTTCCAAACTGATGGTTTCCAGTCGCCACTGTATCCTAACAATGTTATCAGCGTCATTTCCTCTGTGTTAGTGGTAATAAACTGCTGCTTGGTCAGTGTAACTCAGGGCAAAAAACAACAACAAAAAAACGCACAATTGTTTATTAAAACCGCGTGAATTACAGAGAGGCTGATTACATAAACACTGTGAGTTCATAATAGCCAGTGTGGCACATCATCTTCGATCTTTATCGAGGATCGTATTTAAAAAGAGATTTCAGTGTGATTTGCGCCTGTGAGAAACTGAAATCTCCGACATTTTGTGCAGCGGCGCACAGCCAGAGGATCTGGCAACCAGACACTCAGCCTCATCAGACTGACTTAGAAATAAATCCGTGTATCTTCCATCCATTGCTACCCCTCATCTCGTGAGTTCAGAGATAGCCTGCGCGTAAGGAGGGTAAGGAGGTGGCGGTCCTTTTGTAATTGTTCTCTTTGATCTCTTTGGGCAGCCGACCCTTTAAGTGAATCTGATCCGCACGTTTCAGTGTGACATTTGAACGCACCTGATCCGCCATATTTAACAAACGTGATCACGGGCTCATTCCACCTTTGAGCCACCCCGATTTTTTTTTT